TTCTCTTTTATGTTTTAGCAAAATCAACAATAAAATATTCAAAGCAAAGAAAGGGAAAAAGTCGGCGACATTTACCCTAAAATGAAAAAAAAATGTTCCATTTAACAGTATTATGATTTTCTGATGTTCAAAACCCTCTAACCCGTCCACAATCCTCTTTATTAATTCCGAGTTTTCGATGATTAAATTTCTCTGGAGCAGACAGACTGCCAATATTTATTTTACAAAGAAATATCTAAGGCGCTGAAAATTTTATGAATTCCATTTTCCTCTCGGAACTTCTCATTAATTGAGCAAATTCTTAATTAGGCGTTAGATAAAACAATGATCATTTATTAACGCCGATTCAGATAAAAAATAACATTTAGGCATTGCATAAACATTAGTTACTTTCAGGATATCACTCTGAAAATACAATATTCCTTCCCAATTCTCTCAATAATGAAGCACCCGAAAACTTCCAAACTTAAAGACAAATATCGCAGATGGAGAGAAAATGGAAATTATTCAAGACCGATATTCGATCGGTTTAATTGCCAAACAAAGTTTGCAAAAATGCCAACATTCTGAAGTTTTAATTAAAACTGAAACTTTAAAAAATTCGACTTGACCATTTTTAATGATCAATTTTTAATAAATGGCAAAAGTGATTTTAATTACAAGTCAATTTAATTATATTTTTATCGCTTTTTAGCGTGTAAAAAAACTGAAAAAATTGAGAACCCACCGACCTTCCAGCCTTTAGTCCAGGGGTCAGCCCCTGGCTGCAACTCGGCACATTTTCACATCGTTAAGTTTCAGCACCTGCACACGCGTTCTCGCGTGACTTTTTCAGACAGACATCGAACATGATTCGCGTTTACGACGACACTGAAACTCGGCCCGTTTCAAACCTGAAACTCAAGTTTCAGAGCGCAACCGTACCTGCGCATTGCGCGCGACATTTTCCAGATTTTTGGCGCTTTTTCGAAACGAGAAGCTCATTAGCTGATTAAGCTCTTGTTTATTCGCTCCGCGCTCAAATCGGATCGTTTGCAGCAGGATTAGGGAGAGACTCGCAGACTTCTTTTACATCTGCAATTAGTCGCCGAGAGGGATTACACAAATTTATGGCAAGTTGCGGTTGTCTCCGAGCTGCCTGAGAATTTTTACGAAAAAGTTTGCGAGTCCTGTTTTTAAAAGCTTAACATTGTTTTTGGTATAAAGTTGGGGGTTATAGACCGATAAAGCCGATTTTACGACCGGTTTTCAATAAAGTATATCTTGATTTTAAATTTATTAACTCCTAAAAGCTCACACGAGCGAAGCTCTCAATTTAAAAATRAAGAATGTTTTAAGAGAGTTAATTTAACTTCTTGCCGGATAAATTAAATTAAACTTCATGATGTATTTTCAATGTCGGGATGTTTAAAAAAAAACTGTTTTATAATGTTTTTATTTGAGACTTACAAAAATTACATAAAACGATTTTAGCAAGAGAAACAAGATTATTCTGACAGCAGGCGAGCCAATGCAACAGGTGTAATGTTCTGGTAAGTTTAATTTCACACAGTATTTTATTACAAGAAAGAAGAATGCCAGGAGTTAATAATGTGTCTTTTCTGTTTTGGTCTTTTTTTCGACGCTTGAAAAACTTAATAAAATGCAGTTTTGTAATTCTAGTATTCTAATTTTAACAAAGGATAAGAAAAGCACTGTATACTGTAAAGCGTCTTTAGTTACTGCTCTTTATTTTTATTACAAAAATATAAAACAATAAAACATGTATTTATAAAACAAATATTTCTGTTAGAGGATTGCAAGAAAACAGTAAAAACTCAAAAATTAGTTAAAAACAGAAAGAAAGTATGTAATTATAAACTTTTACCGTTTAGTAGAATATTTTCTTTATGCATAAAAAAACAAAAGAATGTAAATTAAGAGTACCACAAACATAAAAATAAAGTAGACTAAATTAAACAACCTAAAAAAGCCTAAATTAAAATATCAACAATGCGGTTTAAAATTTTGTTTTGTTATCCACACCTAAAACAATTCAAAACTTAATTCTTATAAAGAAACCTGAAACCCAGTATAAAATTCAGTTTTACGTCAATCTATCCCAAAATACACAAATTTTTTGCAACTTGAAATCAGTTCTAATCTAGACTTTTTTTGTAATGTCACCAAAAACAGGATAAATATATAAACCTAAATAAACCTACTGGACGACTCAATAAAACATTTAATTTTACCTAAAACAAAGTAAAAATTTATTTCAGTCGTTTCATCCAATTCAAACATTCCATGTAATCAACTTAAGTTAATATTGCAACCTATTTGTAAAACAACTGTGAACGCAATTTTACCTAAAAACCTAAAAAAAGTATTTGAGATAACCTAATTCAAGTTAATAAACTTTATTTTAATCGTAAAAAATCAAAATCTTATTTTTGTCAGATCTAGATAGGTGTATCAAATAAAGACTTTTCAGGATTCAAACTTTTATTTTAAATTAAACCTTTGTTTAAATCTAAATTATCTATCTACTTAAAGTTAATAAACTTAAGCCGGCTTACACTGAAATGTCATATCTGAATCAAATTGATTTGTACTCATTATCCTGGGTTAAAAAAATTAAACAAATATGAAAATAAATAGATTATTTATTTTCTACTCAATGTTGAAGAGTGCTTTTATCCACTAATTTCAGTAGATAAAGTAGTCTTCTATAGTCTATAGTAGTGAAATAAAGTAATTTTTATCTACTGTTTATATTTTATCAACTAATTTCAGTAGAAAAAGTTGTCTTTTATCGTCTAGTGAAATAAAATAATTTTTATCTACTGGTTATATTCAAAATAAAACGAAATATTATACACGACGATAAAGATTGCTTGTCTAAACAATAAACAATTTCTTTATCGTCTTGTATAATAAATAACTATTTGTTATTGGTTTAAATAATAATTTTACTCTAAATAAAAAGACTAAGTTTAAGCTGGTTAAACTGTGATTTAAGTTTTAAGTCCGAAACAATAAACCTAATTTACATTTTGTCTTGATATTGACTTGATCGCTTTGGGTAGAATTTAGTTTTCTAATTTAAAACAAATACACGGGAATAACGGGTTAATTCTATTCCTTGATTTAAGTAATTTGATTCCAAATTCAATTTTAAAACTTTTTGTGATAACATTTAATAGGAATTTTTAGGCAATTGATTGCCGAAATATGTTTCTACGGCGTAAAATTATTATATTTTTATAAATTTGGGAAAGCGACTTTGTTACCTTTCACCCTTTCTAATTTATATTGACTTTAAATTACAATAAAGCTGATTGCTATGATTCAAGTGTATTAAATTTTGTTAAAGTTTGCTAATACTTACATTTTGCGCTGTTTACCTGTAAAAAAGAAAAAAGTATTAAATTTTCGTGCCACTGCATTGCAGCTTTAAAAATTTACACAAGCTCTCATCACCCGAAATATCGCAGTCCCAAAAATGTAAACCTTCTCCAATTTCTCCTGATTTTATTATTCTCATAAATAAACATTGAAGTAAAGCATCGGTGCGGTTTCAGGGTCATGAAAGTGGCGTCAAGTGAGAGCAGTAATGATAAGAATTTAGGAGGAAGGTGTAGTGGAGGTGATTAGGTTTTTATCATTTTTGATTTGTTTGTTTGCTGATTGGGTATAGATATAATGTTTTTTATTTTGAGGAGTTTGTTTCAGAAAATTCGTAACTCTAGAATCAACATTGAATCAACTGAATCGGTCTTTCTCGTTTTTGTAAGTTTTTGTGCACAGAGTATAAAATAAAACTTAATTTTGCCTTGTTAGTTCCATTTTATTTTGATGAGTAACCTTTTTTTTCCTTTTTCTTTATTGACATAATCCACCATTTCCTTATTGTCACTGTCATTTAATCTGTATTTTGAAAATTTATAAATCTAAAATGAAACCAAATATAATTTTTAGGATAATCATATATACATTATTCACTGTTAAGAATGGAAAAAGTTTGGACTGTCTTATGTGTTCTGACAAGACATGCAACAATCGTGAAATGAATAAAATTACCTGCGAACAATTTTTTACTTCTTCTACACAGCAGTGTTTTCTAATAATTTCAAGACATGAAGGTGATAGATTTAACACATGTCGACTCTTCTTTATTATTAAGTACTTTTTTCTCTAAAGGTTCGGTACAGGAATTGAGAGGTTGTATTAGTGAAATGTTTGTCCAGATGCTTGATGATTGTGGTGTAATTAAACATAATAGTGATATTAACCTTTTCTCGACCAAAGCTGATAATAACAAGAGTTGTATACTTTGTGATACAGATTATTGCAACCACAAAGAAGGTGAAGGTAATTTTGCAAACACTGTGAATTTTTACACATTTTATTACTTAAGTTTGTTCATTTCCTTGATTTTGTAGTAGTAAAATATCTAAATAAACTTTTTGGAATGAAATTAAAAAATAATAGACGTTTACAAATAATTCAAACGTGATCTGCTTAGTAGATGTTGTAATAGTTGTCAATTTCAATTTCAAAAATGAAGGCAAATGTCATTTGCACAATRACACTATTTGTTTTTTTATTTTTTAATTATGGGAAAAGTTTAGAATGTCTTATGTGTTCCGATAAGACCTGCAATCCTCGTGAGATGAATGCGGTTACATGCAACCATTTGTTTAATTCCAGTATCTACAAATGTTTTCTCATAACTTGGAATTACAAAGGTGATATTATTTTTTCTCAGTTCTTTGCCCGACATTTCTTTTTCAAAGGTATAAAAAAGGAAACTAGAGGTTGTATAGGCGATTTGTACCTCCGGCTGTTGAAAGATTGCGGTTTAACTAATCATACTCACATCACTAAAAATGATTTTATTGCTACGCCTCAAAATGCAAACAATACTTGTGTACTTTGTTCTTCAGATCTATGTAACCATAAAGTATATGAAGGTAAAAAATCAGGAGTTACTCGTAGTTGTAATGCTTACACAATTGTTTACTTCAGTTTACTCTTTTTTTTATTATTGTATAGACTTAATGTTAAATAAATTATAAAATTAATTCAGTTTGAAGTTGACTCCGGGGAGTCCTCTGGCTCCGGTCCCTGTGACTCTATAAGTGGCCCCATTGACGGGCGCTGGCAATTTCTTCTCTCCGATTTCTAACCGTCCTGTAGTAACAAATAATTCGTCCAAATTAGGGCCCCCGAAAGTTACAGAAGTTATCTAAAATCGATATTAAAATCTATTTTTTTACAAGTAATGAAGTTACCTGTTGTGCAGCCATATTTACGGTGTCTAGCAATGTTTCACTCTTACTGCCATCGATTTTAAGCACTCGGCTACCCTCAAAAACTGCCACCCATAGATTATCATCGGTGTCTATAGTCATACCATCGGCAGTACCCGGTACATTATTTTTTTTCAACGTGAATAAAACTTTTCTGTTGTCTACAAAAAAATTATTATTTCGAATGTTCAACAACGAAAATTTAATTCTTACATATCGTCCCAGTTTTTACGTCGAAATCAAATTGATCTATTGTCCCTGTTAAAGAGTCGATGTAATACATTTTTTTTGCCTTTTCGTTAAAAGCCAATCCGTTTGCAATTCGGATTTTGTCCAAACATTTTTTTAATTGCTTGTTAGAATCCAAGGAATATAAATGGCCCAAAGGTTCACTTTTCATAAAATCATCTTTGTTCAAAGTTTGGCCACCGGCCCACAAACGGCCTTCGGAATCACATTTAGCATCGTTGAAAATATTATYCACAGTGGCTAAGTTTTCGACGATTTGTATTTTATCACTCTCACCATTCCACGAAATAATGACTAATTCGTTATTTAGTGAAATTACAAATTGGTCCTTTTTTCCTTCGACTGGGATTATAAATGAAGCGGTTTTCGGTGCTAAGAATTAAAAAAATAATTTGTAAATTGTTAACGGCTTTAAAAACTTACCAACTGATACTTTTGCGACTTTCTTCGTTGCTGGGGTATACTTTACGATACTTTGGTCTAAAATATCAACAAAATAAAGGCTTTGAGTTGCTGTATCCCAATGGGGGCCTTCACCCAAGCCATAGCCTTCTGTTACTATTTCAATTGTGTGCATTTTAAAATCAGAATGATAGTGTTGATAGTATGTAGTTTGTGACGAGATATCAACAAGGTCAGAAACATTAACAGATTGCAACTCATTGTCTGAGTATTGATATTTATAACAAATGTTATCACTTAATTACAATTTGCTGTTACAATTTTGATTGAAGTGATGACGTCACTGTCACTTTTTCTCCTTCAATTTCTCAAATATTTGGGAAATTAAATGAAGTTGTAAAAAATGTAAACCTTCTCCAATCTCTCCTGATTTTATTATTCTCATAAATAAACATTGAGTCCTTTCATATACACTCCTGATAAATCCTGCAAAACTTGATAGATCGCCYCATTTATTCAGAAAAAGTGAAATAATTTTTCTTAGCACATTCTTATTTCGTATTCTTATCTTAATACGTTCTGACAGCGCCATTTAAAAATTAAAACATGCTGGTAGAACAGGATGACGTTGTGTGTTTCGCGTCGCACGCAAATCCCTTCCGCAGGAATGATTTTAAAATTTACTCCCAACTACGGGACCCATATCCATTAACTTAAACTCCAATCTAACTTCGTTAGACGCCATTAATATTTATAGATGTTGTACAATGGATTCGATTAATGGCGAAACACCGACACGAAAAACGAAAGATATTCACTCGAGTCGAGAAGAGTTAACACGCCACTTAATTAGACACGTTCACTGACGWTATTTCCTTTAATCCCAAAGAACAAAAACTCGATCAGGAGCTTTCGCATCATCTAAAACACGATCTTTACTWTCTTACAATGCTTCTAAAATTACCAGTAAAATTTTCAATTGATATTAAACGAGAATTGTGATGAATTCATTCAAGTTTGTGTCGAGATAATTATTCGCAAATGCGGTTCCAGTCGTTCCATTTCCAAACAGAGCAACGAAGTTGGGGTTTACCGACCGCAAGCGCTGTCATCTGCCACTTTTATTAACACTACTTTGGGATGCGACAAGAGTGAATTAATTGTAATTCACTTATCTGCTGAAAATTCCGAGAGATTTGTGGATTACTGGAGGTAGGAATTAATTTAGTTGAAACAACAGAGGGGCTTGTTGCTAATAATTGGCACGAAAATTCATTGCACGAAAAAATCAACGGCTTTTTTTCTGTGGAAATTGTGTTGAAATATGAAAAAATGACACGAAATTAAACACATTCGGTTAAAACATTACACTTTATCCAAGGGTCAAGGTCATAAATAAATAATCCACTAAAACCCAAAGCCTAAAGCCGGAAAAAGCTTTCCTAAAAGTTTGCCCAAATACCGCTAAAATAAATTAAACAAAATTTTTAATTCAATATAAGCTTATGACTATGAAAATTAAATACATATTAAAAATTTGAATTATTAATTAATAAAAAAATTGAATTTTTTTACTTGTTTGAGTTTTCTACAGCAGACACAAATTTAAAATATCTAAAATATCACATTTTAATATTTATCAACATTTTTTAATTAAATAGTAAATTCTTCTGTAATAATGCACACTCGACATTTATTGAAATTTTTTAAACTTCTCCACCTGATTAAATAAAAAAAATAATGTATTATAATTTTGAATATTTAAAAGAAAATAAAATTATCCCAACCAAGAATTCACCTACGAGTAGTCATAACCTGTTTACTTAGGATATTATTTATTCCTGGTAAATATGTGCTATGTAAAAAAACTAAAAAATTGTTGTTTTCAACTAATTTTATTTATTATTTATATTTAATGCATTAATTATTTATAGTCAACATTTTTTATTGATAAAAGTTTTATTAGTTATAATTTAGTAGAACAAAATAATAACGTTTGAAATGCACTTTTATTTTAGAATAAAATATTAAACAAATTTACATTTACCCTTTAAAACAGGTATAAAAAAATCAGCAAAATTTTGTATTAAAAACAAGCGTTTATTTTGTGCCTTTATACATAGGAATTTTAATGTTTTCAAATTCTCACTCTAATCTAGGTATAAAGTGAAAAATACACTATTACTTTTGCATACCAAATCTACACCATCTCATGCACCACCTAATAAATTTTATCCTGTACATGTTACCCAATCCTCCCTATTATTCGTATTTTGTTCCGAGACAACAGTAATTAATTTATCCGACTTTGCGCCACTATAAACCCATTAAACGTGACACCGACTTTAAGAGAAAGTCATCAAGCTATCAACTGTGACGTTTCTTGCCTACATCGCCCGAAAACAAACCACAATATTTTACTTAAAACATTTATTTTCAACGATACATCATACTACGAAAACAACATATCCCTGAGTTCGAGCACGTCTTCGTACAACATATTTTTAAACTTCTCGTTCTTATTGTAAGACTCGATAATCCATTTCCCCCGCTCATCAAACAAGAACTTCCGAAAACTTTCCTCCGACTTCAACACATCGACGTAAATTTCATCGGCGACGAAAGTGAAGGTGTGATCGAGAATTGCGCGAATTTTCCCAGCAAGCATATAATTGTCACATGATTGAAGAAAATCTTCAGTTGAAGGAAGCCCCTTTAAACCCAAACACTGTTGCAAGTTCTTGTAATAATGTTCAATCAAAAGTTTGGAATTTTGGGAACGAAAAGTCCGACACGTGTTCGTCATCAAAAACTCAGCAATGTCCTGTTCCACAAATCCGTATTTGATGGTTTGGAAGTCCAAAAGTTTGCTCTCGACAGGCTTACCATTTTTATACCGGTGCAAAAAATTACTAGTCCAGAGATCTGAATGCAAAATACCACTTATTAATCCTTGGGGATTTCCCAGCTCCTGAATTTCCCCAAGCTTTTCTTTAAACGCATCGTGGGACACGTGATTCTCCCGAATCAAATCGATCAATTGAAGTAGACCTTCGATGGACGCTTGCAACCACTTTGAAGCAAGAGGATTGTCATTATGTTCCAATTTGTCTTCAAGTAACTCTTTATAATCATCAATTATGCAATACTTTTTGCTCAATTCTTTTGACTTGCATCTCTCGTAGATAATACTGGAAGCGTGAAATTTGGCCAAGGCTTCAAGTGAGGTTAGACAATGGTCCAAATCGAACAGTTCCCTTTTTGGAGTCCCTTTAAATTCGCTTGACAAGTCCTCAATGACTGTGATATAAGGCTTGAAGAAAAATCCTCTTGGAGCAAAAGAAATATCGATTTGGTGTCTCTTAAACTGATCCAAAAGACCGAAGTAGAAGGCTTCTTTCTCATACACTTGGATAATTTTCGAAAATTTTGACATGAAAGGATTTGTGCTTAAAGTTTTCACGAAAAAATCCTGGCTCCCATTTTCATCTTTGAAGACATACCCGATCCTGAGAGTAAAATGTTCCCCAATTAGACCTTGTAGAGGATTCCGAAAATTGACAATTTTGAACGAACTTAATTCGAAATTGTCGCTGTTGAGAAATTTTTTCAAAACTTGCTTACAGTCCTCTTCTAACAGTCCTTGTTCTGCCATGTCTGCAAATAAATATTCCATAAATTTCATTGGATTTTTTTTAACTCACTTGCTGTAGAAGACAGGTTTTAGATTACAACTTCGCAAATAACACTAATCTACTTTCTACAATCTACTATTGATACAATAATAAATGTAATCTCGGTGAAAGCGTGTACTAGCGATGATCGTTCTACCTGAACTGTTCTCACTACTCACATTTCTCAATTTTGTTTTGGTATGTGTAATTATCCAAAATAAGACTTCTACAAACCGTTTCAACAATTTCCTTAACAAATTACGATAACAGTTTCACAAATGAGCAATGAATGTTTAAGTTTGAGTCATTCAGCCAAGGTAACAAACCAATGAAAACACAATGACGAGCAGTGATTAATTAAGAATTATTGCAAAATCATTAATTTTTTTCTTGAAAAATTTTATCTAAGATAATGCTAATGATAATGATAATAACTATCCAAGTGCAAATGTACTTTACGAGTACATCATGACTACAGGCAATAAACCTAATCTTTATCGGTTTATCACATACTACAAAGTCAACAAGACCTCTTTACTATTAAAAGTTTTTATTCGTTTTTTTTTAATCTGAGAGAGCCTGTGGCAAAAGCTCGTTATGTTTCATTTACTCAAAAAAAAATAAAAAAATTTGGCCCATTTTCCGTGCCCCTAGATTTTGAGCTGGGTCTCGTTCATCCGCCATAAATCCAGTATAGATTATAAGATAAATAAGGATATAAACACAAAGCGATTGTGTACATTAACTTATAGCCTTAGGATATTAATTAGCGTTTAACGTGACTTTAATAACTGAGATAAAGCGTGTAGAATTCTCCCAACTCGAACCGTTGCAATACAACAGCTACTTCCGATAATTCAGATCGCCCATTTCTCTTAAAAAAAAATAAAAAACATAAAAGCATTATTTACGAAAACGCAAATGGCTTTCCTCTCTTTATAAATGCAAACCTTAAGTGAAGGAGACACCGTGAAAGCGCTTTTTACAAATTACTTTTAATTCGTCGAGATAATGGAGGTATTAAGAATGAGAATCTTTAGGTTGTGTTCGTGGCCGCATCATATTCGGCACTTTATCTTTCACGCTCCAAAAAGAAAAGCGCCTCCTGTGAACAAATGTTTTATTTAATTTGAAAAGTTTTCGGCGTTAAATCGCTGCAAGTGCGTACAATATCACAACGACGATAAAATTACAAACTTCCGACATTTACACGTCATAATCGGGGACAAAAGAGATGCGAAAATTAAATCTGACGTCGGTGTTAGCGAAGCCACGACGAGATATTTTCGAGTATTAGATGTGATGAAGAGGAGACAAAAGACGGATTGTTGGATGCAAACGTCGTAGGTATGTAATATTAGCACTGGTTTATTATTGTCGGTGAAACAATGTGCAGTATGCTCCAATGACCACAGACGATGTTACAAACGGTATTAAACGGACAAGTTCACGTGTGCTGTTGTTATTATGGTCGCAAACGCAATCAAGCTGTAATTGCCATGCATTCTTCACATAGTATCGGGGGGATTAAGCCGATTGGACTTTGTTGCGCTGTTTTAATATTCCACATTGAAAAGAAAATACTAAAAGGGTGATTTCGTGTCTTTGTGATATTAAGTAGTGACGGGTTTTGGCTGTGGTCGTAATTGGGTACTCGGGAATATTATTCATCAATAGTCATTATTGAATAATTTCATTTACATTTCAAATATGGTCGTATGTTGTGTTTGTCGGGAAAGTTTGTTAGTCACTATGTTAATATAATTGTTCATGTTAATTTCTATGAAGTTGGTGTCAATGGTTCCGCATTGCCGAGGATTGAATAAACTTTCAAAGCGCAACAAAAGGCTACTGTTCCAAACGTTAAATCATAAAGAACAAACGCGAAAAAAGCTCAATGTTGTAGTTGCAGAAACATCAAAACAATTTCTGTTACAACTTTTGAAAACCGCTTCCAATATTGTCAAGTAACGGCAAACGAACTCAAAACATCTAAATAATATAAAACGGAATAAAATATTTTTTTTTATTAATAAAAATCTGCAATAAATTTTAATATTTAAAAAAAACAAATTAAACAAATAAAACAGTTTTGAGCTCGATTTTGAGTTTTGAGACGTAAAAATTGCTCTAAAAGTAAATTTAAAAAAGTGCTTAAATTATGTATGTATATTATAAACTATAAATTATGCCTATATTCACACAGTTCTAGTTTTTTTTTGCTAAAACTCTGTTAGAAACAAAGTTTAAAAATTTATTAAATTCTAGATAACTAAATTAACGGTAATAGAAAAACCAAACAAACAGTATTTTTGTTTATTTTCTGCTTTTTAGCAAAACTTGATTAAAAATATTAAATTTTCAATTAAATCGATGGAAAATACTGCAAGTATACAAAAAACTTTTTTTACAACTT